ATTATTATTATTATTATTATTATTATTATTATTATTATTATTATTATTATTATTATTATTATTATTATTATTATTTGAATCCGAAGTGGTTTCACCAGGGCTTGGAGATCTCGACCCTTCCGTCTCTTCTTGTTCAGAATCCTTTTTTTCTTTGTCTTTGAAAATTCTAGCACGAGCTTTTTGATAGGCTGCTTCACGTTCCTCGATTGTTAGATGCGTTCGACGTTCACTTTCAGAATTACTATCAGAATTATCACCGACTGATCGAATAGACGGATGATTCGACTGTCGTCTCATAATTTTTACTGATTTCTCGGGAGGTTTTTCCTCCTCTTGTTCAAGATCAGAGAAACGAAGTATTGGACTAAAGCAAGAAACACGATAAAAAAAATGTATAGAATTTATGGAGATTTATAAGAGGACATATATAGAACGAAACCTACATTGCTGTTTCCGCAGATTTGTAGAGAACAACAGCTTTTCCACTACTGTCCACCACATGAGACAATTTAAAATATTGAGCTACTCTATGGACAATAAGCCTTTGATAAGAATTCATCTGTGGAAATTCTAATCGTAAACGACTTGAAGGTGATACAAAGTGCAAAAGATATTTGTTAGCCTATAGATTCCTTGTTATTACTTCTACATGTGTACCGAGAAAATAAGATACCTTTTGTCTTCTATGAAACGCACCATATCCTGATCCAATTTTAATAAGAACAATCTGTCTTTCGGATTTTTAAGTGCAGTCAATAAAAAATTATCGAGACCAGTAGCGGCATCAATTTCTCCCAAATCAACACTTTCTTCGGTAGGTGATTCGCCATTCGAAGTTGGCGAATACGTTTCTGATCGACTGGGGATTGGCGATGTATTACCGTTATTATTATTACCATTACTATTTATCGGAGATGACTGTTTAGACTCCCCACTATTATCAATCGTAGTAGGATTAGTGGTGTGTATGCCATTGGTACTATTTGAAGAAGGCCGTTTGAGCAAGACAATCTTTTTCGTTTCAACAGATTGAACTGGGTTGCTTACAACCGATTCTTCTGGATCTACAATAGTAACGCGACTTTTATGCGAAGATGTTTCGGGAATGGACTTTACAAGAGATGGCTATTAAGAGAAGGTGAAATGTAAAAAAGAATTTTGAAGCAATGTTGCTAAGTTTGAATATCTCACCACTTTCCCTCGATGCAAAGTGTTAAAGTTACTTGACTTACCATTGCTTTCGAGAAGGTAGTTGACATTCTCGTTTTTTGTGAATTTAACAGTTTTTGTTAAGAATCAGGTGATATTAAAAATTGGTGTGATGTGTGTGTGTATTTGAAGAATATAAAGAACGGACTAGTGGCCCTAAACTATACAGCAAGATAATAAGGCAAAGTCTCGTCGTTGATATTATTAAATAGATTTGAATAAAACTGTACAAACTGTAAAATGTGTTTTATGAGTAATGATGTATATGTGTATGCAATATCTATCGCTAAAGACTAACGCTAAAGGCCAGAAAAACACGTTTAGGGCCGTGAAAGACAAAAGACAACAAACCAAAATATTTTTGCGCTAAGACATTCTCGGTTGGCCTTAGAAAAAGACCCAAGTGTATTGTAATAATATATGTAGGATCGAGAAATTTAGTAATTATTTCACTACAAGAAGAAATAATATATTTTCGATATTATATATATCGATATATACACTAATAATAGTTTTTTTGTATTTGGCAAGTTAGCCCTTTGATTGTATCTCTTAATGATGGTTGAGTTTATTAACAGTGTATGATTATGACCGATGAAAAGGTCACCTTTAGGGTGCATCTGATGGCTCTACGAAAAACTTTTTTCACATACAATATTAAAATTAAAATTAAAAAATTATCCGTCTTCCAATAACATCTATATTTTTTCAATAAGTCTTTTATTTACTTTTTGAAGATGAGTAAGTGAGTATCATCCTCAAGAATTTCTCAATTGCACCATCTTTTCTTCAAGAAATGGCTTGTCTCAATTTACCCAAGGTTTCAACCATCTCTGAGTGAACTTTGATTATTGCAAACACATATAACAAATTTGATCAGCTCAAGACCATAAAGTACTGCGAGAGTAGTTATCCGCATTTTGATAGTTCTGTCTTCAGTCCTTATTATATGACAGTCTTTTTTGATATTATGAACCCAAGTAATACGAAACTCGCCTCGTGATGATTCATCATACTTTCCGGTTTAAAGAGAGAAAGGGGCAAATTGATAGAACTCTTAGAGTGGCTATTATATTAAGAAAAAGAAAAGAAATTCTTATTGTCCTTTTCTTATTGTCTTTTTTTTTGAACGCATTTTTTGACAAACTTATCCTTAATGTTTGAAATAATAGGCCCGAAGAAAGAGAGGGGGATTATAATGATGTCCCGGAAGGAGAGATCGAGGTAAGCTTATATCTGATATTACTGATGATTATTTTATTTATCTTTGATTTGCCATATTATACTAATCTAATCATTCTCGCAATAATAAATGTTACAACTCGCAGTCTAATTGGGAAGAAGTTGTTGATAATTTTGATAATATGAATCTGAAGCCAGAATTGCTTCGTGGCATTTATGCTTATGGGTATATATAACCGAATAATAAGCATTTTCATAGCTTCATATGATAAGGATTTTATTTTAACTTAATCATATGATAAATTACACAGTTTTGAGAAACCATCAGCCATTCAACAACGGGCTATACTCCCCGTTATCAAATCGCATGATGTAATTGCTCAAGCCCAATCAGGAACAGGAAAAACCGCCACATTTTCAATTTCAATTCTTCAAAAACTTGATATGTCTATCGGTCAATGTCAAGCTCTTGTTCTGGCACCAACTCGCGAATTGGCGCAACAAATTCAAAAGGTGGTTATCGCGTTAGGTGATTTCATGAACGTTGAATGTTTTGCCTCGATTGGTGGTACCAATGTTCGCGACGGAATCAAGAAGCTCGAGGCTGGTGCTCATGTGGTTGTCGGCACTCCTGGTCGTGTATACGATATGATAAATCGCCGCGCACTCAAAACGGATCATATTAAAATGTTTGTCCTGGATGAGGCAGACGAAATGCTTTCTCGAGGTTTCAAGGAACAAATCTACGATGTTTTCCAACTATTGCCTCCGAGTACTCAGGTTGTCCTGTTATCTGCCACGATGCCAGCGGATGTATTGGAAGTGACAACTAAATTTATGCGTGAGCCTGTTAGAATTTTGGTAAAACGTGACGAATTAACGTTGGAAGGCATCAAAGTAAATTTCAAAATTATAATTATTTCATGCCAATTTACTGTATTATATAAAATAATAATCCCTATGATTTAATTCCAATCAAGCAATTTTATATTGCTGTCGAAAAAGAAGATTGGAAATTAGATACTCTATGCGATTTGTACGAAACGGTTACAATTACACAAGCTGTCATTTTCTGTAACACGCGAAGAAAAGTGGATTGGCTTACAGACAAATTGCACGCTCGTGAATTTACAGTTTCAGCTATGCATGGAGATATGGATCAATCACAGCGTGACGTTATTATGAAGGAATTCCGTTCAGGATCTTCTCGAGTGTTGATCACAACTGATCTCTTGGCACGTGGCATTGATGTACAACAGGTTTCCTTGGTAAGTGATATATTTAATATAAATAATGAGTATTCATGTGTAAAGTTATATTTAACTTTTTTGTACAACAAATATTGATGATAATTAGGTTATTAATTATGATCTTCCAACAAACCGCGAAAACTATATTCATCGAATTGGTCGAGGTGGTCGTTTTGGAAGAAAGGGTGTCGCCATCAACTTTGTTACTAGTGAGGATGTTCGCATGCTTCGTGATATTGGTAAATAATCACTGATCTTTATTAAAAAGCACATTAACTGATAATAACAATGACTGAATTTCATCTTTTACAGAACAATTTTACAACACACAAATTGACGAAATGCCAATGAACGTCGCTGACCTCATTTAGAATATTATTATCTATATATTTAAAATATATTAATATTATTAATATTGACACAAGTATTAAAAAAAAAACTAATAACTGGTATCAAAAAATCTACAACTACTACATCCAACTATCAATACTACTACTACTACTACTATTACTACAACCATTACTACAACCATTACCAAAATTGCTTCCGACTCCGAACCGAAAAAAGTATTACTATTAGTATTTTATTTCTCCTTTTCTTTAGACTATTTTATTGTTATTGATTTCAGTAAGAACATTATTGTTACTATTTTATTTATTATTTAATTCTATTGGAACATCAAAATAAAATTTTCGTCAGTTTACTTTACTGTTTTGCACATTATTTGATTTTCATTACTAAAACACATTCCTAAAAAAATACGTTTTTTTATCATCCTAATGCGTCCCTTGTCTCACTAACACATAAATCTCCTAATTCTCCTAGATATTTTCTTCTTTAGTGTATCCATCCCCTTTTATGGTGGCACCCCCTGATGGATATAACGATGACGATGTAATTTATATCCAATTTTAGAAACATGATTACGACACGCGAGAATCTTGCTGAACTTTGTTCATAAATAGGCAGAATCGGAATACATTTTCTACATTTACCGTACTCCTTTTTGGTTACATTATTTGTTGCCTTGCGAGAAACTTTTGAAGCTTGTAAAGGGTACTTCCAATATCTCGTTGAATGCTATCTGAAATATTATAATTAGACATAAAAGAAAGAGCATATAACCATACATATATCTATATTCAATTGCATAGAAAAACAAAATTCAAGTCGTTGATATTATTATTAGTGTTTATGGTTAGTGAATGAGAAGACAATATTAGTCATAGCGCAATAAACTCTCAAGTATAACGGGTCTGTAGACCGCTTTCAAAATGGTAATTGTTTTTGAATAATGATAATTAGAATTGGGAATTAGTGATTTATTTATTATTTATTTTTTAATATAGACCAGATCCAATGACATTGAAGAAGAATACACATTGCTCGAAAAGCTTGGTACTGGCTCATTTGGGACGGTTTACAAGGCGTGAGTTTTTAATTTATTTATATTTCTTCAGTAGAAACAATTTGAAACACTCAATGTGGAATGTGCTTTTGTTTTAGCATTAATAATGACACAAAGGAGATTGTGGCAATCAAACAAATTGATCTTGAAGATTCGGATGATGACATTAGTGAAATTCAGCAAGAGATTGCATTACTATCGCAATGTGATTCTTCTTATATCACCCGTTATTACGGCTCCTTTGTCAAAGGGTATAAACTGTGGATCGGTAATAATGATTACAATTAATTTACAGTCATCGTTTATGAAATTTGATTTCGTATTAAATTAGTTTGATAAATGCATTTATATAGTTATGGAGTATCTTGCAGGTGGATCATGCTTAGATCTGGTAATATATCAAACAACGAATTTTCCTTGGATTATAATAATATTAGAAATATTCTAAAATTATTATTGGTTTTTAGCTGAAACCTGGTCCTTATAATGAAAATCAAATTGCGATTGTCTGCCGTGAACTCTTGAACGGCTTGGAATATTTGCATAGGGAAGGAAAGATTCATCGAGATATTAAAGGTATTATATTACAGTGTGTTGTGCAATGCTGGAAACAAATGTTCGTGATATTAATAATTAAAATTCTCTAAAGCCGCGAATGTATTATTGTCGGATGATGGAAAAGTTAAATTGGGTAAGTAAAAATTTTGTTTAAGAATCTTTTTTGTTTCCTATTAATTCTTGTTTCCTTCAATTGAAAGCTGATTTTGGTGTCGCGGCGCAATTATCTGTTAACAAAAGCAAAAGGAAAACGTTTGTCGGGACTCCTGTAAGTTAAACAAACAAATAAACAGAATTGCAATACAGTAATATCACAATTGCTGATTATCGTTATTTCTATATAGTTTTGGATGGCGCCAGAAGTAATTCAGCAAGCTGGCTATGATCACAAGGTAGTTTTAATCGACGATACTCTGAAGAGATTCTTTTCCATTTAAATCTAATATTGTGGATTTTGTTTATCAGGCTGATATATGGTCTCTTGGCATTACTGCCATAGAGATGGCGAAAGGGGAACCACCATTGGCCGAGTATCATCCAATGCGGGTGCTTTTCCTTATTCCTAAAGCAAAGGCTCCTGTATTAGAAGGAAACTTCTCCAGCGCATTCAAAGAATTTGTCAGTCTTTGTTTAATAAAGAATCCCAATGAGGTAAGTATTGTGATCGATGTTATTAGTTGATTCATGTGTTTCGCTATTATTTTTTCCTCGAAATAATAATTATGCGCAATTTTTGAATTTTATCATTAAGCGACTACCCGCAAAAGAATTATTGCGACACCGATTCATAAGGAACGCACAAAAGACTACGCAGTTACAGGAGCTTCTTGATAGATACTCTGACTGGCGGACTAATGGCTCCAATAGGGCAGCAGCGGTTTTTTCGAAAACATTGTCAGCAAAATTTTATTTATTGTTATTATTTTCACTTGATATAAATAAATTAACTGTTTTAATTTTTAGAACTGTAAAAAAGGAAACCGTAGCTCTTAATTGGAACTTTGGAACTGCTAAACCACCGAATGGTATTAATAATAGTGATGAAAACGTTTTGATTGAAAATGAGTTCACGAGCACCGTTAAGCTTAAACAATCGAGCGTTAAATATATTGAGAATGAGATATCGGTATGCATTTCTTTACCCTCACGATTATAAAAGTGAAAATTTTACGAAATTAATATTTTTTCCAACGCTAGGATGATACGGAAATCGATCAAGCTACAATAAGGGCTTCTGCTTTCAAGGTTAGTTAGTAATTTAATAATTGTCAAATTTAATGAATTAAAGTATTTAATTGGTTCCTTAATTTTCTGTAAATAAAGAAAATACAAGATACAACAGAAACGCCGGAATCTAATCAAATAAATTATGAGCAGTCTTCTTCCAGTTCCACAATTGACTTATTGAATGGCACTGACGGGTAAAATTAATTTCAATCATAATCAAATAGTGATAACAAAGATTTCTTGTCAAACATTTTGTTTATTCTTTCTTAATTAATGATAGCAGGGTTAATACTGTGCGCGCTCATAAAAGATTTAGTAATTCAACCGACACCTCATCAACGTCACTTTCTGTCTACCCACGAGATGTACCGATTGCTGTGCCCGTTTCCGAAGAAGGTGTTTTCGGAAGACAACTTGTAAATGATGTGGTCTTACCATCAATATTAAATATCAAGTCTAGTGAACTCAGAACTGCGGAGATTGAAGCATTGAGTATGATTGGAAAAGGGATTGAGGATTTAGATCACGTAAATCCTGATCTCATAGTTGTAACTTTGGTGGAAATTTTATCGAGGTTAAAAAGGTTAGTATTATATATACATGGTGAGGAAATATGTTTTATCGTAAGATTGCTCAGATCATTATTTTTTATAGTAATCCACATTTAACAGAAAAATTAACGGATCTGGAGATTATTTCTGCTGAGAGTTTTGCAACTGCAAGTAGCACCGCAGCAATCGCCACAAAACTATCAGCAACCTCGAAAAAAATAAACAGCAAAAATCTTGAAATGTTATCATCTTCTTCACCGTCTTCAACATCGTCGCCATCTTCTACGGAGGTATCAGCTACAAACGAAATTCAAACTGAAGAAAACACCACCTCGGAAACAGCTGCCGTAAAATCATCAAGAATAACATTTTCGGATATTTTATATCCAAGATGGATCGGACAATTGAAATCTAAATGGGCAATACTTTAAAAAAATTCTAGTTGAACATTGTTTTATAGTTTTTTTGAAACCATGTATAATTTATGTCATTATTATTATTATTATTATTATATTTTATTAGGTAAGATGTATATATATTTATGTTATGTACAATATGTTAGTGTACTTTTATTGGACGCTTGTTTTTATAATTATCATCGCATGAATCGACTACAAAGGTTGGGTGGGTGCGATAATTTATATTTTGCAACATTATTCTATAGCGATAGTATCAATTTATTACGGGAATAATAAACAGTTGATTGTATCGTTTCGATAGGTAAAGTATATGTATAAAATATATTTAGGTGTATATATTATTTTTATAATATATAATTTCTGTTTTTCTCCCAAGTTCTTTACAAATAGAGGAATAAAAATAGAAAGAGGGGAGGGGGAAGAAAAGGGAAAATTCAATATAAAAAGAATTGCTTTACAAAAAATAAAGGAATATAATAATAATAATAAAAGAATATAATAACAAATATATGGGAAGAAAAACAGCCTGACGAAACAACTAACAACGCATATATGAAAAACAACAAACCAAAATACACGCATCAGTTTCTCGTATTAATTAAAAATAATCACAAGAATTTAAACCAGATGAATGTTAGGAATAGTCATAATCTACATTATATCACTATTGTTGTTGTTTGTTGTTGTGTCGTTGTCGTTGCTGCTAATTACTACCACCAAATAACTTACTAACTATGTCACAAAATGAAATATAACTTACAAAAAGATATTTTTTTGGTCTAATGAATAGATGATGAAATAAAAAACGAAGAATAAAAAATATTAGTAGAATAAAAACCACTGAAACCTAAACCTAAATACATGCAATCAACTAAAACATTGCGGATTTTCTCCGGTCAGCAGCGGATTTACTTCGCCTTTCAGCAGCAGCCGCGTATAGCTTGTTGACTGCTTTACGACGAATACGCGTGGCAAAATTCTTTGCCATATCGGGACCTTTTGGCTGCCGGATTGGGAGAACAGCGTCAGGATGAACTTTCAATGGGCCACCAATGACACTAAAAATATTATAAAACGATAAATATTTCTGTTCAAAAAAAATCAAAGAAAACAATAAAAATATTTACCTTCTACGTCTCTGGTCCTTTGTTGTGGTAGGAAGAGTATAAGCACGTTGCTGTTGAGATGTTCCCGTTGGTGTCTGAGGAACATAATCTTGATGATACTCGGGATAGTAATAATATAATTGATTATCCTCATATTCTTCCGGTTCATAAGCCAATTGATAAAAGTCATAAATGTCGGGTCCATAACCTTCTGGTAAATAACCAGGAGTTGGAGGAGACGATTCTTGTGAATCTGAATCCTCCGGATGACTAAGAACAACAACAGGAGTACCAGGACCTAATTCGACTTGACGATAATTAGGAGTGACGAATCGAAGTGGCGCTGGCGTAGCACTATAACGTCTTACTCGTGGGGACTCCGGAACAGTTTGAATATATGTCTGATCACCATATAAAAATGCATAACCTTGAGGAATCTGTGCAGATTGTTGTAATTGCTGTTGCTGCTGTTGTTGTGATACTCTAACAGCGGTTGCCTGTCTTAGTTCTTTAGGAAAACCCGTTGACTTTGGATAAGTAGCCGTTTTCGGAGGTTGAGGAAGATTAAGTGCTCGATTGACCTTTGGAGGAAAAGTCGCTGTTTGTGGACCTCTATTGAAATTCGAGATTTGGACTGAAGTGGATTTTGATAAATTAAGAGGTTTCGGTGTTGGTCTACCAACTGAATTACTCATTGAAGATTTTTGTTTTGAAGAGGGTTGAACAGCGGTAGAAGCAGCATTGATAGCATTATTATTACTATTCAGTGTGCCATTAGAAGGTGATGATGAACCCATTGAAGATTTGGGCGGAGATCTCGAAATAAATACATTTTGAGGTGGTGAAGACCTGGAAGAGTGTTGTTGTTGTTGTTGGTGTTGTAAAAAGTTAGACATTTGAGGATGAAGAGGAGGAGATCCTGATAAGTTTACTGATTGTGATGAACTCAATTTGAAATATGACGGTGATGAAGATGAAGATGATGTATTTTTAACGACATAAATTTGTTGCTGCTGTTGTTGTTGATTTTGTCTTGAAAATTGAGCAGATTTAGGAGTTCTAGGAGGAGCAACTGCTGCTGGTGAAGATACCGATCTGGAATTAGTTCCCAAGATACTTTGAGCGGGCTCGACATTAATAGACTTTAGGTTTACTGGTCTCGTTTTATTACTACCGCCATTGCTGTTATTACTATTCTCTCTACGTTTATTTTGGTCACTACCATTTACACCACCGCCATTCCTCCAAGATTGACGAGTGGGGTCTTGGTTTGATGGTTGATGTTGGACTTGCACACCGCCGGCGTCCATTTTTATTATTTATTTTGTTTATTTTTGAAATAAAAATGAATTGATATTTTTTTGGACGATATCTACAGGAAGTGGTGTTTAAATTGTTGCTGCTTGTTATCGTTGTCTTTGACGGTGCGTTGATGGAATAGACTGCAGGCGTGTAATTGGTTTTCGAAAATTAATAACAATAGAGATAATTAATATAAATATCTAGAAGTATGTTAAGAGAAATCACACGAAAAGCTACGAAAACCACGCACGGAAGTAAAGATAATATTCAGAAGAGTTCAAGAACCCAAACGAGGAAGTAATAGTAGTATTGGTAGTAGCAGTAATAGAAGCCAAGAAAGAGAATTTATTTCTGATAATATGTTGAGAGAAAATATAGAGAGATGTTGTCGTTGTTAATTAACAATAAAGTCAAAGAGAAGTATAATTAAGTAGTAAACGAAGAGAAGAGCGAAAAAAAGAAACGAATGACTGGGTACCTATACCGAATGCAGGACCAGCCAGTGGCCCACTGAACCAAGAATGATTAAGTAAAGAAGAAAAAAGATCTCTTGGTAAAGAGCGCGCTGCTTAACTAGCTACTTACTACTCTTTGACCTTTTCTCTTTTTTCTTGATGTGTATGTGGTTGGTGGGTGGGTGTGTCTTGTGTCTCTTTTTTGGGGGGGGGGGCTTTTTTTGATGATGATACTATAGTAAATATAGTAAAGTATAATATATTGATGAGGCTTTTTTTCGGTTATTGTCGAGTAATGTGTGATGAATTGACGTTATGTTAACCGATCACGCGACGAAAACGTTTTGAATTTCCTCTTCTTTAGGAAAATCGACAAATCAATGAATAGAATGAATAAGGCCGAGAGGAAACTAAAGATCAGAAGTAGGGAAACGTGACAATTAACAAATAATTAACAATTAAAACAAAAAAGATCCATTTTTTTTATTATCGTGTAATTTTTAATAATAGCGATAGAAGTCACATCCATGTCGGGAACACAGCTTTTACTCGCTGCATCAAAGTAATAATAACAGCAGAAAGAATAATAATAGAAAAAATAAAGTTTATCAATAAACTTACGCCTGACTTTCGTCTTTATTGAACAAGACAACAACCAGTATAGAACAACGAAAAAAAATTGCGGTCTTAATTTTTATTATTATATCGATATCGTTATTGTTATCATTGTCATCGTTCAATGTCACCGTTCAATGTCATTATTATTAATCATTTCGCTGTTATTGTGAACAATATTCTAGAAGACGCGATAAAAAAAGGGTCGTTGATCTCCGAGTATATTCTAATTCTATTATTTGTTCAAAAAGACAATTGTCAATGACCCAAAAAAAGCGACTGAGCTAGTATTTATAAAGAAAGATAAGAATAATAGTAAATGTTGACAGGTTTTCAAAGGATATTATGGTAATAAAACCGGAATGTCGATTCCTCAATGATAGATTTATAACACGTGAATTATCGTACTGATTAAAAAAATTTTGCTACACAACGAAAGTGCCAAAGACAGAATTTTTGTTTGCTGCAAGTCTAATTAGTTATATACGGAAGAACAACGAGATGCAGAAAAGTTAAAAAGTTAAAAAGTTTGGAATAAAGATAATCGACCAAAGGAGTCTATCCCAATTTAATTCTTCGATTTATGCAACCTTATGCATAAAGCAAAATCCAATTACATAATAATTTTTTCTCATTGACGTTATAAAGAGAAATACATAATCCATTAGTATATAAAGTTTTCAAAAAAATGAATTTCTAAAAAACTTTTTTAAAAACTGTTTTCTCTCAAGTTTTAATTCCACAATAAAAAGAAGATATAATAATTAGTGCTGAAAAAATGATAATTTACTTTAATTAACAATTCATAAATGAATAAGAATCTTCATTTTTGATGTTTAACCTTTTAATCTAATGACTTGAAGTTTTTGTTTAAAATAAGCTTTTTATTTTAATAATTTAATATAATTTTTCTAAGTGCAAAAATATATCAGAAATAATGCAACAACATCAAAATTTATTAATTAAACATAATAAAATATGGATTTTTCTCTTTATATAAAAGGTTTCAATTTTATTAATAAATATTTTTTATTTTTATATTAAAATAAAGATAATATCACATATTTAATATATTTTTTTTCAGATTTTTTAGACTTAATACATATGTGTACTTTAAATAAGAAATTTTCATGCTTTGAAGTTTATAAAGCAATTCAATTAATAATTGTTTATATTCAAAAAAAATATCAATATGGTTACTAAAACATAAAAATTCAGAAAATGAACTTTATTTTGATATAGGGTCCAAACTAAAGCTTGCCAAGTTTGAGATTAAAATAATCGAATATGGAGGTGAAACAGTGAAATTAAAATTATTAATAGATCAAGCAGTTATTAAAGATCTAATAGTTTGTAAAGATTATAATTTTTTTTCATATTTCATAAATATTTCTCAACCAGATTTAGATTTCTTTAATCTTTTTCTAGAATTTTTGACTAAACCAGAATAGAAATCAACATAAAAATTATGAATCCTATTCTTTAATACATAAAGAATATAATTTGCAATGAAAATAAAGAACTTAATGAATATATCTGAAACTGGTAAACATATTTAGTACAAAAGACAAAAAAAAATTCAAATGATCTTAGTACTAAAATTTATATTATAACAGTGTGAAAAAAAATTTTATTGATGACAAAGTCTTGGAACAACATTTTCATTTTGCAATATCAGATTTGAAAAAATTCTTAAATATTTTAATAGTATTATATAACAAACTTTGATCAAATATTTTACTGAATCATTTGCAATATTATTGGATTATAAATATCTTATATCTTATTAAAAGAATATAGTCATGTGAGACAAGTAAATAAACAAGCAAGCAAGTGAACAAACAAGTAAATGAACAAGTGAACAAATAAGTGAATATTGAACTAATAGAATTAAAGTGAACTAGTGAACATGAATTCATATAGTTAATAAATTATAATTTGAGTTTGTATAAAAATAATATATATCATAACTATTAGAATTAGATTAAAACAAGTTCTTCAATAGTAATATTCTTAATTATCTTCTTATAGCTAGTTATCACGTAGTTTTAATTATTCATACGAGCAAAGTTTGTACTTATTATAAAGTAGATAGTCAAGCATAAACTCCTCTCTACACCTCTTTGACAAAGTATTCTTGTTTCTTGTATAATTACTTTAGTATTGTTGCCATAAATGTTATACAAATCTTGAATCAATATTATAGTAACTTAAGCAAGATGATCAGAAGTGTTATAAAAAGTTATCATCTTAATATTAGATTATCTAAACACATTTGTGATGAAACCTAATAAATATTATATGAATAAAGAAATTATTATTATAATTCATAATCTATTTTTGAGATTGTATTACTGATAATACATTGTCATAAATTTATCTTTAATATTGTATTGCTGATAATATATTATTTATCTTTGATCTTGTATTGTTAATAATATAAATATTATAATCTCTATAACTTTGATTCTGAGATTTTGAGAACTCTTTTTAGCAATTCAAATTATTGCATTTAAAAAAACACAATTGTTATCAGTCTTGAAGTAATTTATTATTAGTATTTTTAATACTTATTCACATTCAGTCTAATAATTATAAAATATTATTAATATTGAATTGTCATTTAAGATATTAAAAGTTTTCTTTGAATATTCCTTAAATTTTATAAATACCTTTAAGTATTTCAAAAGTTAATCAAAACAGTAACAATAGTATCATTCAAGCTTGAAAGCTTATTATTATAAATAAAATTAAAATATCTAATAGAAAATAATATAGATTTAACAAATATCTCAAATCTCTTATAATAGAATAAATGATAACTATTGAGTATAAAGATCTTGAAACTAAATAATTTTGTAGGATATATGATTACAAGTAATTAAAACATTCCACTCAAAATAAATATAAAAAATAGTTGTATAATTTGTTTTGATATTTTTATATCATATAGAAATAATATATCATATTTTAATCAGTTGAAACAAATTCTTGATCATTCAGATAATTTAATAAACATTCAGCAATTCATACTGAATATTTTGAAATAAAAGTAATATATCATAGAATATTTCAAAACTATTACTAATCAAATTTATATCAAGATATCAAAAATTATATTAAAACATGTAACATGTGTCAAAGAAAAGGAAGACTAAGGAAAAATAATTCATTTCATCCAATTGAAACAAAACTGCCATTCGAGAAAATTGGAATTGATTTAATAGAATTATTATTACTTATCACTAATAAAAATAAATATATAGTAGTTACTATTAATTATAAAACAAAATGAATAGAAACAAGAGTCATTCCTAATGCAGCATTAATAATAATAATATCATTCTTATATAAAAATATTATTTGTAGACATGAATTTTCAAAAGAATTAATTTCTGATAGAGAAACAACCTTTATCAATGAATTAATTAGAATATTATACAAAACTTATTAAATCAAACATTATCTCTTAATGAATTAATTGAATGATTAAATAGAACATTATATAAATTATTAGCAAAACTAGTATAATTATACAAAAATGAATGAGATTTCTACTTATCTTCAGTATTATTCATCTATAGAATAATTTAGCAAAGTACAATCAAATTTACTCTATTTTATTTGATCTATAGAAGACAAGCAATAACACCAATAAATTTTAAATTATAACCATTAGAAAAAAATAATAAAGTTACAACAAATGAAATCATTAAGCTTGTATAATAATGGATAAATTAGAAATTAATAGAACAATAGCTCAATATTACATGTTATTGAATTATACATATCTCATATCTTATTGGATAAAGATCAAATCACATAAAGTGAGCAAACAAGTGAGTGAACAAGCAAATGAGCAAATGAACAAATAACTAAACAAATAAGTGAACAAATGAGTGAACAAATATTGAACCAATAGAATTTAAGTAATATAG